AAAAAAAGTTGTCGTATCTTGTTGTTGATATTTTTTCTTTCTTAATACTAATTACTGCAGAGGTGGAGGTGATGCTGTTCAAATTGTGCAGCGACATCATTTTGCTTCTCACTTGAAAAGAATGGCTGTTGTTGTTCGTGTTCAGGAGCAATTTTTTGCTTTTGTCAAGGTTTGATGCCTAGTTCCTTCTTATTTAGCTTTGTTGGATTGAATGAGGTCAAGGGTCAGTTGGTCTGAGTGGAGGCATTGAAATAATTCTAAGGGTCAGTTGGTAAAGAGACAGGTCATGTATGGATTAATAATGCAAGGATTGTAATAAAGGGATCATAATGCAGGAATTGATAATGTAGTGTGTGTAGTGCATCAATCATAGTGCGGGTATCATTCCTTGTACAATGCATAGTTTAAAATATGTGTTTTGTTTATCCTTTTTAAAGGGATTGAGAGTCATTTTGGTGATTTTTGTTGCTTTAATCCATGTACTACTAATTCTCGTATTTGTATTCCATCTTCTATCCCACAGTAATAATACATAGATTTATTAGTACGTTAACAAAATATTGTTAGGTTAGCAACAAAAATGATGACCAACCAGTGTATAAGTAAAGCTTAATGCAACTTAGTACAGTATATGAGCAGTTTTATAGGGAATCAACTGTAGAAGAATGCCCTTTGGAGTTGTCATCATGATATGGTAAAACCTATCTCATGTTTGTTCTTGTCAAATGATAAAGAAAGCTGGTGTTTGTGGCAAAAGTATTTTCAGACGATACTTATTATTTATTGTGGAAGCACTTTGATTAGTCTGAAAGTGCTGTGTGTTACGGTGTGTCCATATAACTATAAGACGTGCTTTTGATTCAGTGTTTTGCATCACATGAGGAGGCAGATAAAGCCAGTGCTGCTACTTATTTCTAGGCAACTTTTCTTCCACTCTATTTCTTGGGAACTTTTTCTTTGTGTTTGTTTGGTTGGGTTGTTTATTTTAAAGCTAAAGTAAGTGCATTTGGGAATGATTCTCCAGTTCAGTCCGCAAGTTCAAATGAGCTTGTTTCACTAAAAAACATTTATTGGTGATTGTACAGTTAATATTTAATAATGCAACTTGCTAATTAAATCAATTTCTCTTACTAAAAATATTTCCAGGGTGCACCTGAGACAATACAGGAAAGGCTCATTGATGTGCCACAATCCTACGTGCCAACCTATAAAAAATACACCCGTCAAGGATCACGTGTTTTGGCTCTGGCTTTTAAGTCTCTGCCAGATATGACAGTAAGAACCCCTCCATAGCAAAAAGTTTCTCTAACTCTGAATTGTTTGATTATCACTTTGTATCCTGTTTTCTACCTTCTTTATTCTTTTACACTTCAATTTCTTTGAACTTTTCACCATGCTCAACTTGGTGAAGGTTAGTGAAGCCAGAAGCCTGGAGAGAGATGTAGTGGAAAGTGGGCTTACTTTTGCTGGTTTTGCGGTAAAAACTCATTTTCCCTTTGGTGCTATAATGATCTGATGTTTGTTCCAGGGATATTGGTGCAGCCTATTTGACATGTTTGGTATTACTTCTTGATGATTTATTAGGTGTTCAATTGCCCCATCAGAGGAGACTCAGCCACTGTCTTGACTGAATTAAAGCAATCATCTCATGACTTGGTAGGTTTGGTTTGGCTGATTTTTTTTCTTTTCCTTGTTTCTTGTGTTCTCAGCCATTTACTTATTTGTACTGTGCTGAACAATTGGTGATGTTGTTTTAGTTAGTAGTCCTTAACTAATTAGTTAAGGACTTTTTTTTCCTTCTCAAAAAGTCCTTAACTAATTAATGACACCTAATTTGACTTGTTAAAGCCTATGAGTGTCATCTTCAATTGAGTTATTCTTTAAAATTTCAGCGTTGAATAAGGTTTGAAGTATTGTGAAAACACATCACATATATATTGGATTACCATTTACATTCTTAAAAAAAAGAGAGAATTCGTTCTAAGTCTTACCACTTTGAAGCTCCCAGTACTCAGCTATAACCATGATTTAATAGGTCATGATTACTGGTGATCAAGCTTTGACAGCTTGCCACGTGGCTCAACAAGTCCATATTATCTCAAAACCAGCACTGATTCTGGGACGTGCTAAGAACAAGGAAGAATATGCCTGGGTTTCTCCTGATGAGACCCATATAGTCAGCTACAGGTAGAAAATGAATGTTTAATGCAGTATTGAACTATGCTCATATACAGTTCGCCTTATTATTTATTTTATTGAAGATTTTACTCTTTAACAGTCCCCAATTGCTTTATGTTCTTTGTTGTCGTCATAATAACAAGACTGGGAATCTGCGTCATTGATCTTAAACATTTTTTTTTTTGCTTTTCCTTTTATTGAAGAATTAGCTAAAGGAACATAAGCTATTGAATTTCCATGCATTAGTAAATAAATTGAGTTATATTATTCATGTAAATGGCTTTAACTTATTACGCTAAAAGTGTGAAGATTTGTACATGGTCAGTTTGGTATTGTGAGTAAACCATTTATAACATGCAAGTTACTATTTTTACTAGATTGCTGATTCATGCTTACCTTAGAAGTGACCTAATTGTATTTTCTACTCGTCTATGCATAGTACCAAATTCTTTAAAAAATAAGATGAATTAACTGAGATATTTTGTGCAATAAACAAAACATTAGTCAATCATATTCTCTTTCAGCTTTCATAATCTTATGTTTGTAGTGAAAATGAAGTTGGAGCTTTATCAGAAGCTTACGATCTCTGTATTGGAGGCGAGTGCATCGAGATGTTGCAGCAGACATCTGCTGTCCCCAAAGTTGTTCCTTATGTAAAGGTTGGAAATATGTGATAAAACCTGCCTTCTCTCTCTCTCTCTCTCTCTCTCTCTCACCTACACACATACACACTCTTTCACTCATATCCTGACAAATTTATCATTTTACCCAGGTATTTGCAAGGGTTGCCCCTGAGCAAAAAGAACTTATATTAACCACTTTTAAATCCGTGGGAAGAATGACATTGATGTGTGGTGATGGGACTAATGATGTTGGAGCTCTAAAGCAGGTATTATGTTGTTCTATTTCAACAAATTATTTGTCAAATGGGTGCAGAACTTGCTTCAATTTTCTGAGGCCTTTTGATTGGAAGCTACCTTACCACCTTGATTTATTGCAAGGAAATAGTCTTGTGGTCTTTTGTTGCTTGGGCTTTGTCTGGCATGGGTAATTATCCTTAGGGTACATCCAATCCTTTCAGCAAGTGTTTGTGTATTTTGAAAATTCTATATGGAGTACCCATACCAAGTGTCGAACTTGTATGACACGAGTACATCTGGAAAAATGACTAGTCCTCTGCCCATGTAGTAGGAGGGATCTGGCAGAGATGAGCTGCCTTGTTTTACATAATTAATCGTTAGTTGATCATATGTAGTTTATCAGTGTATTGCCGTTAGTTTCTTTGTGCTGATGTGGCAATTTGTGTGAGCAATTATCTATGCTCTGAGCTCTCCTTCCTATCCAACCCTCTTTCCCGTCACTACTGTCCCTTGCGTATTGTGAGATGGAGATGCAGTTTATTGCACTTTTTTGATGCATTGCTGTTTGGCCTGCTTGATAGTTTTACTTAACTGCATAGTATGCTTCTTCCGTGTTGTAATATTCTTTTTGGGTGACAACCATTTTTCCGATAAGTGAGACTAGTGGGATTTGCTTCTTTCAGGCACATGTGGGAGTAGCTCTACTTAATGCAATACCTCCCCCTAAAGGGCAAAAGTCTTCTGATGGATCATCTAAAAATGATACTGCAAAACCTGCCAAGTTGAAGAAACTTAAATCTGCTACAGAAAATGGTGAAGGTGCTTCAAAAAGTAAAGCTACCAGCAGCAGCCAAGCTGGTAATCGCCATCTTACACCTGCAGAGATGCAGCGGCAGAAGCTTAAGAAACTCATGGATGAGCTTAATGAGGGAGGAGGTGATGGTCAGGCACCAATTGTCAAACTTGGGGACGCATCAATGGCATCACCATTCACTGCAAAACATGCTTCTGTCTGCCCTACCACTGATATCATTCGTCAAGGTCGTAGTACTCTAGTAACCACCCTGCAGATGTTTAAGATACTTGGACTAAACTGCCTTGCTACTGCCTATGTCCTGAGTGTAATGTATTTAGATGGTGTCAAGTTGGGTGATATTCAAGCTACAATCAGTGGGGTCTTCACTGCAGCCTTCTTTCTGTTTATCTCACATGCTCGGCCCCTTCCGACACTTTCAGCTGAGCGACCCCATCCTAACATTTTCTGTGCCTATGTCTTCCTCTCTCTCCTCGGACAATTTGCTATCCACCTACTTTTCTTAATTTCCTCTGTTAATGAAGCTACCAAGTACATGCCGGACGAATGCATTGAGCCAGACTCAGAGTTTCATCCAAACCTTGTTAATACGGTTTCATACATGGTGGGTTTGATGCTACAGGTAGCAACGTTTGCTGTGAACTACATGGGCCACCCTTTCAACCAGAGCATACCTGAAAACAAACCATTCTTATACGCACTTTTGGCTGCGGTGGGTTTCTTCACAGTTATTACCTCAGATTTGTTTAGGGACTTAAATGACTGGTTGAAGTTAGTTCCTATGCCAAAAGGGTTGAGAGATAAGCTGCTGATTTGGGCATTCATGACATTTTTGGTCTGCTATGCGTGGGAAAGGTTGTTAAGGTGGGCTTTCCCTGGTAAGATGCCTGCCTGGAAGCAAAGGCAACGTCGTGTAGCAGCAAGTCTAGAAAAGAAGCGCAACTAGTTCATAGTTTTGAATTTGGATCAGTCAGGTAATCAGAAGAGCTTCATTTTATTGGCAGTATATCTATCAAGGCCTGCTGGACGCGGGGGGTATCGTAAGTAGAAGTCAACTGGATTTCATCTTCTCTGTTATACCATGATATATACCACAGCAGCTTGCTCATTTTTTGTCTTAAATACAAGAAACTAGAGAGAAGTGTTGCTTTATTCATTATTGCTGATTTGAATTGTGAAGGGAACAGCTGAATTTTTTCTTCTAGTGTTTGTCAAGATGATAATCGGGTGAATGATTTACTCTCTTCATGGAACCTTGCTTGGCTGCTTTTGAATTTGTTGGATGGACAAAGTATCATTGTTTCAGGAAAATCCAGTATAATAGTGAAAATGTTACAAACGTAGTAATTTCTCACTGCATTGCTAGTTTCCATCCGTGATTTTCTTTCATTTTTGTATGAACCATCAAACAACCATAATATCTAAGTAGTAGCATAAATGGAATTGCTACTCTTTTCTTGTTTAATCCCAGAAATGCATTGTCAATGAAATATAAAAGAAGCTTGAGCTTATGCATTTTCTCAATAAAAAAGGGGGCCGAAACAATAAGGGATAGAAAACTACATGCGATAATAGCTAGTAGTGAAAAAGAAAAATACATATATATGATTAACTACTCATGTGAGTAGTGATAATAAAATGAATGTGAAGAAAAGTTAAGAGATTAGAAATATAATTAGTGTGGTACGTACAAATTATTAAAATATAATTAATTAATTAGGACGAAGTGAGGATAGTACAACATCTTGAAGTGAACTATCTCTTTGCATAGCAGCTTTAAACTCATCAAAAGTGACTTTGCCATCACTATTTGTATCCATTAAATCAAATATCTCATCAAGTTTTCCAGCTTCTGTTATATCCAATGGAAGACAATCTTCAGGAAGTGCCTACAATATTTTCATCAAATTATTAATTTTTATCGAGGCTTCACAGTACCAAGGTCAAACTATTTAAATAAAAATGTACATTTTTGAGGATCACGTGAAAATACTAATAAAAAATTGTTTGACTCGCAAAAAAATAAGAAAGGGAATAGAATTATTACTCTCAACATGGATGCAACTTCTTCCTTGCTAATGCAGCCTGATCGATCAGTATCATACATCTAATTACAAAAAAAAATTCAAGTATCAAAATTAACATATAAATTATAATAAATATTCGTTGAGGTGCAAATTACAGTTGTATCATATATTGGTACCTCATAACATTAAATTGAAGTATTGAAAACACTTTGAGCTAAATTGTTGACACTTTCAAAAATACCCCTCCGTTTGACTAATTGTATACATCCTCGATGACACATTAAGTGACCTTAAACTCTCTTAGGAGCATGAGACTCGTACCTGAAAACATAGACGAAGTGCATCATCCCCTTGTGAATATTTGAGACTAGAGAAGCCACCAATTATCTCTCTCATATCAACCGTTCCATCACGATTGTTATCAAATAGATCAAATATCCTCTCTGCTAATCCCACTAATGATGTCATTTCCATTGCTCTTAACACCTCTTCAAACTCCAACAATGTTGCATTTTCTCCATTTTTGCATCTATATATACAAAATAGTAATAGTAACAAATTCCATAACGTGTTATTATTAGTACATAATAATAATAAACAAAAAGCTTACATTTTCTTGAAAATGTGACTCAATTTTTCTAATTCTTGAGGCTTGAGATCATAGGATGAACCAACTAATTTCTTCAATTTTTTACTTCTCAAACTAAAACTACTGCTGAGAACACTAGCCATAGCTGCTGCACGAAACTTACGCCGCGCGTTGAAGCTTTGTAGACGAGACACAATCTCAGCGTCCGTTTCTTCTTCCTTTGCTAACTCTCCCCTCACCCATGCATCTTCAACTATCTACATAACATCATCAGTTTACGTACACCTCAGCTAATGAGCAGAGTTAGGATTTAATCGAAAAATTATATTGCACATATACCTGTTGAGCAGTAGGCCTCATGTTGGGATCAACTTTTAAAAGATTGGAAATTAGTTGTTTTGCTGATGAAGATATATTCTTCCATGTTTTCTCATCAAAGCTAAATTGTCCCTGCATTAATTTGTTAAATAATTAATAGAGGAAATTAAATTAATTTTTTTTATGTGAAATAATAGGACGGGTGACTCACATTTAATATCATTTGTTGCTTTTGACGATTGGACGGTGCGAAGAAAGGTGGGTACCTGAAGTTATAGTATATTTTATATTAATAAAACATCAATATTATGTACTTTCTATTACATCTTTGTAATTTTCAAATTCACTAATGAAATATTTTATTACTGATATATCTATTATTTCCCCTTGAAAACTTTAAAGTTGGCTACTTTTAATATTATCCTTAATAGGGGAAGGTATGAGTTAGGTTCCTTCATAATTATATAATGAGAAAATTTTAATAAATAGTATAATGTATACAACATGTTAAACAATATATAAAAAAAATGCACGATCCAATAATTGAGGTGGTTACTTAGTACCAAGAAAGTCTATTCAAATTAATCTTTTTTTTTGATATCGCGGAAAAATTCGTTTTGGATATTTAACTGATTTCTTACAAAGCTACAATTACGTCTTCTTTACGATATGAAATTTGTAATTTAAAATAATAATCTGATAGCATAAAAAATATTAATGATACGGATGTACGTACTAACCCGGAGAGAAGAATGTAAAGAATAACACCTAGTGACCAAATATCAGTCTTAGTAGTGATTTTATCCCTTGAAAGTGCTTCTGGTGAAACATAATCAATTGAACCAAATAAACCAACCACTGGGTCTGCAAAATCCTCAAAAGAGCTAAGACCAAAGTCCATAATCTTTAATGGTGAATTCTCATCTTTGTTTAAAAATAAACAGTTTTCTGGTTTCAAGTCCCTATGAACTATGTTTGCCCCATGTAACGCCTCAAGTCCCTTAGCTATTTGTCTCACCACTGAAGCAGCCCTGGCCTCGTTATACCTGTCAAAAGCATTATCACGATATCAGAGTTACGTCCATTTCTCAATTTTTATTTATTAATATTAGACTTTGTGTTATATTGTCTACGTTTCAGTTGGCAAGCTATCAATATTGTTGAGTTTCCCACATCGACTATTCAGGTATGAGAAAATCAATTCTTATGCACTACTTGAACTAGACTTTTCTATGAAACAATTGCTGCTGGATTTGACGTCTTTTATATATATTTAAAAGATAATTTTAGTCATATATAATAGTAATATTTTTCACCAAAGGAGGTTCGGATGAACCTCCAAGTATATGTTGCCTCCATTGAAGTTGTTTCGGATTTTTAAAAAGACACCTTAACTTTGCGGGTGTCCTATTACCCCATTCAACAATTTCACAATAGTATGTATATCCCATTTTCAGCCAATACAACTTGTATAGAAATATTTGTAAGTCACGAACTAATAATCACTTAACACGTGTTAAAAGTAATTTTTAATTATTTTTATTTAATTTCTTTGTTTTTCTTTTTCTTTTTCCTTTTTATCTTCTTTTTTTCTGGTTCTCTTGCTTCTTCTTTGCCTCACTCCTATAGCTTTTGTCATTCCTTCTTCAAGAAGAACAATCGCCATATTCATTATTGTGGGACGAAATTTTTTGGCAGCATTATCAATTATTTGTCAAACTATCAACTATTAATTTATTTATGAAAATAAATATTGTCAAATAATCAAAATTTAAATATTCAAAATATTACCAAATTAAAATCTGATATTTAGATCACCCCCTTCTCCAACTTTTTACTCCCAAATCGATTTTTTCATAGTTTCACTATTCCTTAATTTCAAATTGATTTGTAGGAGGAATAAAATCACTACTAATTTATTTTTTACAATAGACGTATACAGCCAAAATAAGATGAGATATTTTATTTTGCTCTTTATTAATAGGGGAATTTTTTTATATAAACACCCAAAAATAACTTAATTATGCCCTATAGTTATAGCTTGTTAATTATGATTTGTAGCTACATATTAGAAGGACGAGAGAGGCAAGTGAAATTGGGAGAGGGAGGAGAGAGGCGAGAGAGTTTGGGAGAATGAAGAGAGAGACGAATTGTATATGTAAATTTGTCAGATAATTGTATATGTAACTGCTATACATATGTATTTGTATATCTACCATAGCAAGATAGTGAGATGGAGAAGAGAGACAAGCTAGAGAGAATAATTATATTTGTATAATACGAAGAAAAAAATAAAATTAAGTCAAATGAATTTTAAAAAAAAATACCTTGGTTGTCCGACAATCCGATCAAAAAGCTCTCCACCAGAACAAAGCTCCAATATAAGATGAACACCAAAAGAATCATCACAAACATCGTACAAATGAATAACATTAGGATGAGGAGAAACATCTTCAACGATCTTCCTCATAACTAACAATTCATTTGTCAATAAAGTATCACATATCAAACCTGGTACTACTCCCGACGACTTATTAATTTTAATGTTATTTTCTTTCTTCTCCGATGGTACTGGCTCGTACCGTCGGAGAGTCTTAATTGCAACAACTTCATTTGTCCTTCTGTTTTTTCCTCTCCTTACTACTGAAAACCCTCCTCGTCCTAAAATATCTGTCACTTCGTATTCATCACGTAAACTTGTTCTAATTACATCTAATCCTCCCATTTTATTTTTTTTTGAAGAACAAAGAGAGAAAATGTTGAGTTTTGATCTAATTGATTGATTACAAAAAACCTAATTACATCATTAATTATATAATTAATTGGCCGGGCGAGTGGGTATTATATAGTATTGTGGGTTATGAAATGATATAAGCAAATGGCAACAAAGGAGAGAGGCTAACAAGAAAGAGACACGATTGACTAAGTCAAAACTAATATTTTTTAATTTATGTGACGTTGTTTGACTTGATATGAAATTTAAGAATTGATTTTACTTTCTTTGTGGGCTAATCATTTCGGTGAAAGAATTATTTTTAAAGTTACTCTCTCTGTCCAATGACACTCGCCCATTATTTATTTTGCACATTTCTTATAAAAAAAAATATAAATAAAAGGATAATTTTACTATGTCATACTTTGAATAATAAATATGATATCTGGAAAAATATAACAAAGGAATGACTGTAAGTATTGATTATAAGGTAGATAAGTATTGTTGGACATTCTAAAATAGTGTGGTAGGACAGTAACTGTTGGAAGTAGTGAGTAATTCTTTCTAATTATAGAAACGTGACATTTTTTTTAAGAGTGGATTAAAAAGAAAATTATGTCATGTAAATTAAGACGGATGAAATAATAATTATGAATATTGAGATTAGGTTAATTAAATCTCTTTGTTCTTGAGTACTGTAGAATAGGTTTGTACAGATTTTACTATTTTATTTTATTTTAATTTTGAGAGATTGGTATACGAATCAAAATATATATTTGTACATTGCTACACTATATACACTTTATTTATACATTTCAAAATATTCTTAGTTTTGACTACAGTTCAACTTGACTAGCCATTTTGTAACTAAAATTTAAAATTTTGTGATAAAACAACAAAAGTGAGGTAATTAGTTCATGGGCTGAAATGGGAAGCCCAATAATGGAAGTCATTGGGCCCATATAAAGCCTGAGCTACATTGGGCTACCCGATATTGACACTAGTCGAATTATTTTCCAACACTCGGAAACAATTTCTCAACTGTCACGAAGTAGTGATAAGATCTTTTGTTTTAATTTCTTCTAACACTATTAAGAAAGATGAAAACGGACCACCAAAATCCAAAAACAACCACATTAGATTAAATTTTTAAGGAAATCTATTAAACATTAAATGGGAACTTTTGATCGTATAAAATAAATAATTGAAAATAATAACCGATTTAAATGATCTTTTACCCTGCACAATTATAAAATGCGTCATCGTGGGCCAAAAGTTGTTCTTTACCATCACCAGACCGTTGATGTTTCTTGATTTAAGACTTCATTCTTTTTTATTAATACTTTTTGCTTTTATTTTTCTGCAAAAATATCTAACTGAATTTGATCGATTTTTTTAACGGAAAAAAAATTTGAAAAAAGTTATCAAATTTTGTAGATTTCTTCAAAGAAAAATACAAGATTCTTAAACGATTGAGTATGAAAGATCTTACATTTTCTACATTTTTATGCTAGAAAATACAGTCGTTCTTAATTAGTATTAATAGAAAAAAAAATAAAAAATGACGAATTTTAAATTAATGGTTGGACGGTGAATTTTCATTTTTTCAAAATAATCTAAATAATTTTCATTTTTTGAATTGTTTCCAACTAAATTCTTTACATTAAAACAATAACTATAGTAGAACGTGGAGGACATTTGACAAATACTAAGCATATCTACTTTTCACAAACTTAAAGGAAGTATTAGCCGGTTAATAGTCCGTTTAGCTAAAATTATTATTATTTTCAATTTCAGAAAATAGTTTCTTTATCTTCACAAAATAGTGAAAAGATTTATTATTATAATTATTTAACACTATTAAAAAATATGAAAATGGACCATCAAAGTCCAAACTAATCGCATTCGATTAAATTTTAGAAAATCTATCAAAAAAAATCATGATTAATATTAATTGAACAAATAAAAAAATAATAAAGTCGCTCAATTTTCATTTTTTTTAATAATTAAAATAATTTTTATTTTTTCAATTGTTCCCGACTAAACTTTGAACATTAGATAAGTTTACCATCTATTCAAGAGTAAAATACATCTTATATTTATTATTTTTCTTAATTAAAAAACTTAAATGATAATTAAAATAGAACGCAAAGATATTTGATATATACAAAACATACTTTTCACAAACATAAACTACCATAACTGCTTAAAAGTACATTAAAAAGACCATTTGAAAACTAAATGGACCATTTTTATCATTTTGTCACTTCCATCAAATGCTATAATTGAGTGGTTTATGACAATGGATATCAGTGTTTTAGAGTATATCGAATCAAGACCTTTGATTGGAGTTTGAATTTGTTTCGAAATTAACAATATCCAATAATTCAAATTGTAATAATTAATATCTGCTCTCGAAAATAGTATTTTTCCTTAACAAGAAAAAAGAATTAAAATGACATCAAAAATAGAATTCATAAGATGTTTGACATATGCTAAACATACTTTTTAAATAATTTTCATTTTTTCATTTGTTATTTTTTTGAATTGTTTTCGAGTAAGCTCTTAAAAGATAAAGAAGTATATTATATATTTAAGAGTAAAGTATATTTTCTGTTTATCATTTTTCTTAAAACGAGAAGAAAAAAACTAATACGACGATTAAAATAAAGCGCATAGAATATTTAACAACTAAACATACATTTCACAAACTTAAAAGAGCATAACTGCTTAAATGTTCATTATTTTTGTTACTATGATAATGAATTATTTATACTCTATAAGCTCTTTTTTTCTTCTTCAAAAATAGTCAATCGAGTTCGGTTAGTTTCTTTAATGAAAAATAGAATGAAGTTGCTCAAATTACGTAGATTTCTAAAAAAAAAAATTACACGATATCATTAACATTGAACTCGATCAATTTTACTTTTTTTAGATTTTTGTGCTGAACTCATGCCGTATTTGATTAGTATTAGTAAAAAACACAAAAATATGACGAAGTCAGATTTTTTGTTGTCGGTTAATTTTTATTTTTTTTAATGATTTAAATAATTATTATTTTCTTGTATTGTTTCTGATCAAACTCCTAGCTTTAAATTTTTTTTATCATGTATTAAGAGTAAAGTGCATTTTATATTTATTTTTCTTGACGAGAAAAAGAACTAAAACGACATCAAAAATAGAATTCATAAGATGTTTGACATATATGCTAAACATACTTTTTAAAATAATTTTCATTTTTTTCAATTGTCATTTTCTTAAAATGTTTCCAACTAAACTCTTAAAGATAAAAAAATATATTATATACTCAAGAGTAAAGTACATTTTCTGTTTATTATTTTTCCTAAAACGAGAAGAAAATACTAAAACAACGATTAAATAAAACGCATAGAATATTTGATAAATAAACATACTTAGTACAAACTTAAAAGATCATAACTGCTTAAATGTTTCATTGTTTTTGTTACTATGATAATAAATTATTTATACTCTGTAAGCTCTTTTTTTTTTGGGTAAAAATAGTCAATCGAGTTCGATTGGTTTGTGTAATGAAAAATAAAAAATGAAGTTGCTCGAATTATGTAGATTTTAAAAAAAATAAATTTACACAATATTATTAACATTGAACTAGATCAGTTTTATGGTTTTTAGATCTTTGTGCTGAATTCATGCCGTGTTTGATAGGTATTAGTAAAAAATACAAAAAAAAATGACGAATTTAGATTCATTGTTGTTGGTTAATTTTTATTTTTTTAATAGTTTAAATAATTATCATTTTCTTGAATTGTTTCTGATCAAACTCTTAACATTAAAGAACTTTATCATGTATTAAGAGTAAAATGCATTTTGTATTTATATGTTTTCTTAATCGAAAAAAATAACTAAAACGACATCAAAAATATAATTCATAAGATGTTTGACATATGCTAAACGTACTTTTTTAAATAATTTTTATTTTTTCAACTGTTTTCGACAAAACCCTTCAAGAGTAAAGTACATTTTGTATTTATTATTTTTCTTAAAACGAAAGAAAAAAAAGTAAAACCATGATAAAATAAAACACATAGAATATTTGACAACTAAACATATTTCTCAAAGACTTAAATGAGCATAACTACTTAGATGTTTCATTATTTTTGTTATTATGGTAATGGATTATTTATACTCTATAAGCTCTTTTTTTTTCAAAAATAGTCAACCGAGTTCGATTGGTTTCTTTAATGAAAAATAGAAAATGAAGTTGCTCGAATTATGTAGATTTCTAAAAAAATAAATTTACACGATATTATTAACATTGAACTCGATCGATTTTACATTTTTTAGATCTTAGTACTGAACTCATGTCGTGTTTGATCAGTATTAGTCAAAAATACAAAAATATGACGAACTTAGATTCTTTGTTGTCGGTTAATTTATTATTTTTTTAATAATTTAAATAATTATCAATTTCTTGAATTGTTTCTGATAGCTTAAACGAAATTTATCATGCATTAAGAGTAAAGTGTAATTTGTATTTATATTATTTCTTAACGAGAAAAAGAACTAAAACAACATTAAAAATAGAATTCATAAGATGTTTGACATATGGTAAACATACTTTTTAAAATATTTTTCATTTTTTTAATTGTCATTTTCTTGAATTATTTCTAACTAAACTCTTAAAGATAAAGAAATATATTATATATTTAAGAGTAAAGTACATTTTCTATTTATTATTTTTCCTAAAATAAGAAGAAAAAACTAAACAACGATTAAATAAAACGCATAGAATATTTGACAAATAAACATACTTTTTATAAACTTAAAAGATCATAACTGCTTAAATGTTTCATTTTTTTTGTTACTATGATAATGAATTATTTAGTACTCTTTAAGCTCTTTTTTTTAAAAAAAATAATTAACCGAGTTCGGTTGGTTTGTTTTATGAAAAATAGATAATGAAGTTGCTCGAATTATGTAAATTTCTAAAAAATTAAATTTACACAATATCATTAACATTGAACTAGATCAATTTTATGTTTTTTAGATCTTTGTACTGAACTCATGTCGTGTTTGATCGGTATTAGTAAAAAATACAAAAAAATATGAAGAATTTAGATTCATCATTGTCGGTTAATTTTTA